AGTTTTTTCGGTCGAGGAGACGTTTCGATGCACTCGCCTTTTCAATTCCCGAAGTCCGTCTCGTCGACGCCGTTCCGCGCGAGTGCGTTTATTTACGAAAATAAACGCGAACGCGCGAGCGCATGTACAAGAAAAGCATTTCGGAGATGAAAGAAGGGCGGCACCTGCAGCGAGAAAAGGGTATCGAGAAACAATGAAGCGAGGCGAGGGCGATAAAAATACTAAGAAGAGTCGGGAAAGACGGAGCCAGTGAATCAACGCGACGGTAAACGCTGCGGAACGTGACCGGAAACGCGGATGGTCGGCTACGGGAACAACGAGGCTGCAGACCGCGGCGCACGCGATACTCCGCATTAACGCAAATTTCGACTTCTTTCGTTCCCCTTCGAGCAACCCCTTCCATTTCCAACCCCCGTGGCGTCGACTATCGTTTCCGGACCGACCTCGGGCCGGAATTAAATTCGTAGATTAAAGTTGCAGGAAAGGAATCTCGGTGAAATTACAAATTTTCTTTGTAAATGCTCGCGAGGACCGAATCCCACCCTGGACTGTGTTTAGTAACCCCTAAGTGGATTATCGAGGCCGTTGCCTTTAAGCTTTCCGGATGTTCTACTAAATCTTGAGGCCAAAATAAGACGAAAATCAAGAATGTCAATTTGTTGATAGAGGCTTCGTTGAAAAGTTATTAAAAAATTTCAAATCGTTCTAAAAAAATTATTTTTAGTTGCAGGGGTCCATTACAATCATTTTTGATGGATAGACATATCTCCGAAATCTTACGCGCTTTCGAGAAAAAAATTCGTGTAGGTGCTGAAATTTTTCGGTGAAATTAAAAAATTTCAAATCGTTCTAAAAAAATTATTTTTAGTTGCAAGGGTCCATTACAATCATTTTTGGTGGTTAGACATATCACCGAAATCCTACGCATTTTGGAGAAAAAAATTCCTAACCGAAAATGTCTGACCATACGTTGACCTGTTTCCCTGAAATTTTTTGGCGAAAAAAAATATTTTCAAACCGGTCTACAAAAATTATTTTCAGTTGCAGGGATCAATTGCAATCATTTTTGGTGGATAGACTCACCCTCAAAATCCTAACCTGTTTCGAGAAAAAAATTCATTAAGTGGATCACTTTTTCGATAAAATTAAAATATTTCAGATCGTTCTGGAAAAATTATTTTCGGTTGAGGGGGTCAATTACAATCATGTTTGGTGAATAGACATACCCCCGAATTCCTACGCGTTTTCGAGAAAAAAATTCTTTACTAAAAATATACTCTGTGGCCGGAAAAGTTTCTATAACTTTTTAACGATGCCTCAATCGAGAAATTAATATTCTTGATTTTCGTCTTATTTTGGCCCCTAGAATCTCCCATTAAAATATTTCCCAGGGATTGCCGAGCACCCTGTATATTTAATCTTTTGCTCGAATTATTAGAAGAGTTTTCTCGATTTTAAAGAAACAGAAAACTACTTATTTTATCGTGCGAATCAGTTGCCCGCGGAAAATTTCCAGAGCTTCGAACCGGCGGCGTCGCGCGGACGAAACAGTTTCTAATAATTCATACCGCGGGGCGGAGATAAACGCCGAGTGCTGGAAAACGGGCAACAACGAAACCTCGCCGTAAACAAAGCAAAAAGCGTGAAAGAATGATGGTCAAAGGACCCGGGGAGGAAAAGAGCGCGCGACCGCGAAGTCCCTGGCGAAAGCAGAAGCCCGCAAAACCACGAGAAACGAGGGAAACCCGGACGAATAATATCTGGGGGGTCCTTTTGTAATTAAGATCGTTTACGTTCCTTTTTTCCATCGAACGTCTCGTCGTCCTGTCTAATTTCTATCGGTAACTTCTTCTCGAGAGCCTCGTCGTTTTATTCTCCGATAAGTTCGACGGCGGTAAAAAAGGCTCGAAACGGAGCAAAGGAAGGTGGAAGAGGGGGGAGGATACGGAAGAGTATCCGGGAAGAGTTTTCACGAGGAAACTTCGTTGCGTGGAGGGCGAGGTTTAAAGGCGAGGCCGCGGGAAACGAGGCGAGGCAAAGCGAACGGATTAAGCAAACTAATTTATAGAAAAAGACAAGAAGAAAAAAATGAAATAAAAGACTTGCGGGGGGGAGCAGAAGGGTGGGTCAGAGATACGATTAACGTGGCTAGGGGAGCGCGAGGGAATCGGGACAATGGGGGGAGAAAAAAAGCGTTCGCGCTGCCGGGCTACCAAGAGCCGCGAGATCAGAGGGAGAACAGGTGAATTTGTTTCACTCTGTAATTCTCTCTTTAATTAAACATCCTCGACCGTGCCTCTATTCAGCCGCCCCCGCGGTTGCCAGCGGGGGACAGAGAGTGTGTGTGGCTACACGCCGCTGTATCTGGCATTAATATAAACGCGAACCTTTGTCATTTCCATTCATGATTCTTCAATAACTTCGCCCGGTCTCTCTCCCCGTCTTTCTCTCTCTGGGAAATTTTTGCATTCGAGCGAGAGCGTCGGGCACAAAGCTCCCCGGGCTTCCGGCGCCGCGATAAAGGAAGAGGAAACGCGGAGAGAGAGAGAGAGTGGGGGGGGGAGGGGGAGGGAGAGAGGACGCGGAGATAGGGAACGGAGAAAAAAACAGGCGAAAGTAGGTACAACGGGATGGAAACAAGCGCGCGCGGACGACGTCGACGACGGAACGGGGACGGTTCCGTCGTTAAAAAGGAGAGGAAGAGGGGGAAAAAGAATCCAGAGGGACGCGAGAAGGGGGAGAACGGAGAAAACTGCGGGGACGGATCCTGCATTCGATTCCAGGTATAATTGACCGGTTCGATTCGCGCCCCTATTCAAACGTCACCGGGAAAATGTCGCTTTATTTCGAATTAATAGGAATTCCGTCCGACCCGGGGAGCTTCGGCTTTTCCTCCTTTTGCCGCTGTTTTCCGTTCGCATTCTTACACGGGACTCCCCGTCTACCTCCCCCCGTTACCTCGAGACTACGCCAGACACGACACCGAATGAGTTTCGCGAAAGAAAGCCAACGGGGGTGGCCGCGGAGAATACGGCGAAATAGGAAACGGAGTGGAAAAACGACGACCGGTGAAGAGGCACGGAAGGGGTGTACAACAAACAGGAAACGAGAGGTGTAATTTATTCGATTAACCCTGTCCCTTGGCGCGAACCGTTACAAATGGGACGATAATTGCGTCGATTGTTCAGATTTTTATTGCTTCCCGTTAATCTCGGTGTTGCTTATGTATGCGGTGGGCTTATCGTTGGCGAATGATTAGTAATATTGGGCTGCCTTCGGGAGCTTAGAATCTTAAAATCGTACGACTATTCGATAGTTAACGTTTCAGAGTACAGGAAGATTGGATTCGTTTTAGAATTTTATAAATTGGACGCTCCACAGAAGTATTTTTCGTATAACACGTTAATCTCTGCATCCACTGCGAAAATTTGTTGTTAGTTTAGCGAGGATGCTCGAAAAAATCGAATTAATCACTGGAGTACATAGAGTATAGGGTCAAAGGCTAAAAAATTAAGGCTTATTTGAATTTTTTAAATCAGTTATATATTATGCTTACATCTCAATCGTATTCGTCTACAATATTATTATATATTATTTTCTTCGGTTTGAGCAACTTAGAGAAGTTAAAAATGATTCGTATATGCCACCAATTAGCGTGCAAACAGTTAAAGAGGTACTTTTTGTAAAACTCAAGTCAAAGTTAATTTGTCAAAGTTGATTTTCTTGACTTCTGTCCATTGTCACACCTCGCATTCGAATCGCGGCGCTCGAAAATTAACATAAACTCCCTTTCCCGTACGTCTCGGGTCTTCCTTCGCCGTCTCCGGATCTCTGTTGCAGGCATACGCAGGAAGAAAAGCGAGATAAAAGCTCCGGGTGGACCGGCGAGAGGGTTTTCCCCGCAGGTGGGACAAAGACATACCCATGGTGGTTCTACGTAGCGCGAGGGAGAGGTCGTAGGGTTGCGTTCGATACGCATGCGAGGTAGAGCATTTGCGCGGGCGCGTACTACGCGGGTCCTCTTTTCGATCGACGTAGCGCCCCCGCGACTCCGGCAACGACGTCGAGGACGACGACGACGACGGCGACGACGATCCACGACGTCGGCGTCGGCGGCGGCGGCGTCGACTATAATGTCACCGGCGGCGTTCCGTGGTCGCGAGAGTGGGGGGGGGATTGCCGCGCTCTCTGGTGGGGGGTTACGACTCGAGGTGGGGGTGGAGGCGGTAGTGGTGGCAGCGGACTCGACAGTGGCGACGCTAACGTCGACCGCGGTAGCTGAGCGCAGCGGTGTGTGCACCGCACGGCCCCCGGTGGCTGATACAGTGTAGGAGGCGAGCGAAATCTCGCACGAGTGCGAGTCCGCGCGCGTCGCACAGCCTCTCGGCACGTCGGTCGTCGAAATCGACCGCGGAGAAATCGGTTTCGATCTGACGGAGTCGCGGGATCGTGTTCGAAACGAAACCAGTTCGTAGAAAAACCACCAAAAAAAGAAAAAGAAAAGAAAAGAAAAAGGGGGAGAAAGGAGGTGGGAGAGAAACGTGTCGCGGTTGTATCGCGTGATCGAGTGATGTTGTTGCCTTCGGTTGCAGAGTGATTGGTCGCGTGTTGGTTCGTCCAAGGGGGAATTGCGTGCTACGGCGGGGGCCCCTGACGGGGCTCTGGCAACAGTGATTCAAAGTGCGGGTTCCCAGCCGTATATCCGGCCGTACCGGGCAGCTTCCGTGTCGCGATCCATCAGGTTGGCAGTTGGATCGTCGGTTGTGGTGCGTCGATTGTTTCGCGTGCACGAATATAACACGGGTGGAGGATGCGTGAGACGGGCGCGAGGGACACGCGGCACGCGGACACGGGAAGACGGTGCCCGTGAACGTGGTGGTGATCGTCGACCGGTCCGGTCTCGCGGTGAGGACAGTCTGTCGCTACGGGGATCGGTGAATGACGCCGCTTTACGATCGGTTTGCTATGATCGAGCCGCGGAGAGTTCACGTGGAACGATCATGATTTACCTTAGGCTGCACGTCGGGAGGAGTCTACGGTGCAACGCGAACGCTAGGCACTGGAACGTGTTCATCGTGCCGCTCTTCCCACTCTGGATTATCGGCGCTTTCTGCGTGAAAGACAGTGAGTACGGTCATTTTTACGATCGACGTTGCACTGTTTACAAACATCCGAGGGTTTCTCACTGCCCTGCGTCCGAGCAGGCCGAATTTAGCCCGGAAGGGTCGCGGCGTAGGCGTCGACTCACCCCCGAGCGTCGCATCGAGACGTAAGAAACACCGATTCGCGTTATAGTTTTTGGAGACTCAAATCGAAACTCATGATATTTAACCACCCCTGTTCAAACTATTGCATAAATTGTATATTAGTCTATATGTCTTAAACGAGGAACATTGACACCAGAAGGAAACGTTATCGTTGGTCTAGATGATGGAAGTGTTTTTAGGCCAAGATCAATTATCTATCGATGAGCGAATGTTTAGGTTTTTTCCGCGTCGATGACTCTTTCGTTTATGATACCCAGAGTCGACAGACAGGAAGACACTCTGCATCGAACTTCGGTCGAGAGAAGTCGCTCACGTCTTTCACACGTACTTTGTGTCAAATAGTTTATCGTAATATTAAATAAGTTTAATCTGCAACCATCGCTGGCATCCCTACAAAATAGTGCTCCATACGTTTCAAATAGGAAATCGCAAGAACAAACAAAACTCTTACGGGATAAAAATCTCGAACCTAGAAACGAGAAACCAAAAACTGGAATCACCGGAATATTTGCTCTAAGTTGGTTCTATTGGTTCACCGTAACTCGAAATAAAATTTTTGCCTCCGGATCCGTTATCACCCCTCACGCTCGGGCAACTTTTTCATCAGAATATCGCGACCGTTTCCGGTCCTGTTATTTTAATCCAGCCAATACGATACGAATTCTCGAATATTCTTCGTAATCGAACAAGCGTGTCCTGGTGTTTCGTTCTCCTATTTTCGAGGATGAAACGTTCCCGCGGACGATTTTCCAACGTCAGGTCGATTGTTGCATCCCGCTTGATATTCCTCCGGCTTCCGCCGATAATCTCGCCGTTCTCGCGTAAGACCTCGTTTGCTTGGCGGGATGACCTCGCCTGAAATTGCTCGTCGAAAGGAAGAGCTTCCCCGAACGAGTCGCGAGTACTCCGGAATAAGGAAAGTAAGAAGAATTTGAAAAGTGTCGCGACAACGCAAACGTTCACCGATCGCTCCGAACGAATCAAAGTTCCGCTTGTTTCAACACCGCGTGAAGTCTAACTAAACCGTGACCGGAAAGCTTTAAAATTTAATTCGCTTCGCGTTCGACGAGGGGTGAAAACTACCCTTGGAAGCTGTCGATGAATTTACCGAACGCGCCAAGTTTTCGTTCGAGGAGTTCCTCCGACGCAAACTTTCCGCTCTCGCTAGCAAAAGAGCCTAAATTTCCCGACGATCCGGCTGCAACCATCGACGGTTTCGCGGCCTAACACGTAACGACGAAACGTTTTGCGATAGGTCGGCGGATTTTTCCCCGTTGGTGTTTCTCACCGACACTCGTTCTTCGTCGAAACGTGAAAATAACGAGACGCTCGTTAAAATTCAACGCGGAGCTTTATTGAACGTTTCGAAAAGTTATTGGAGGCACGGTTACGAGAACCGACAGGGTTTATTGCGTCGGTTGATTTAAAGACCGATCCCCGAACGCAACAGCGTCTTCCATACTGCCGTTGCCGATGTGGAACGCGATCCGTTTCTATAGCGTTATTTTTTTTAATTAACATCGGGTGTTTTAGTCGTTTGGCCTCGCGCCAGATACCAATGAACCCTTTGGAGTCTGGTCAGGCCACGGATTATACTTCGTGAGCTCGCATAATTCGGGAATAAAAAAACATTTCGTTAAGACGAAACATTCTAAGGAGCCGTATGGTTCGAAAATAATGTTTCCTTTGACTAGAATAAATTGCAATTTTATTCGTAGACAGCAGACAGGACAGGCCTGTGACTCGAATAACTTGTAATAAAATGTACGTAAGTAAGCAGAGCACTAGTGATGTTAGTATTATTTAAAAAGTGGTCTGATTAAGGGATAATTTCTTTTTGTTTTGTCACTGACAAATACGGTTTAAATATGGTCTAGACTATCGAAATGTATAGGTAAATTTTGTTACAATATTTAGCTCACGAAACACAGGAATACCCGATCGCAGTAGAAATACCAAGGAATGGCCAGACATGTCCGTCAAAGTAAATATTCCATTTACAATTCATTGGCAATGTAAAGGTAAATTCTTTAGAGTGGAAACTATGCTCCGAAGGACCTTTGTCAAGAATATTTGAGTCACGAGAACGTAAGAATACCCAATCGCAGTAGAAATATCAACCAACGGTCAGACGAGCCTGTCAAAGTAGATACTCCGTACAATATTTCATTCAGAATTCATATCCTGTTGCATAATATTAATAAAACGTATTATAAACATACATTTTAAACAGTGTTCGAGAACGAATATAAACTAGGACCACAGAAAAAAATGATACGCCTAGCTGCGAGTGGAAGTTGAAAGTCTGTGAAAGTAAAACCGGACCACAATCGATACTTTTAATATCGACCACTGGTATAAAAGCACATAATTTCCCAGAAAAATGTAAAGACGGTATTGCTACCCGAGCGTACAAAGTGTCCAAGAACGAATTAATGAGCAATAATTTTCTTGCAAACGTGCAGGCGTGGATAACCTGAAGATAATGCACTTTGACCTGTTTTTTTCTTTTTTTTCATTGGAATAGTACAAAGAAAAGTCGACGAATCGAATCACTGTATACAGTTTACCAGAATCAGTTACTCCCCGTTTACTGTTAACAATGTACCGGTGTAGAAAAATAGCCATAACTTGGGAACAATGTCAAATTGAGCACATGTTTATACGAGCTGTTTTCATTGCTTTTACGCCCTCGATTCGCTGGCTGAAGTGGGTCCCACGTGTTACGATCCACCCCGCGTGAAAGGCTATAATAATAAAAAAAACATGTCACACAGCCAGAGGGTCCGTCAGTTGTTCCGCGACGGTGAGAAAAATTCTATACTAATAATAATGAACGACAACACCGTGGTTAATTCAAAGTGGACGCGGCGGGGAAACAGAGGAAGGCACGATTATCAAGCTCTGCTAGATTAAAACACATTATTCCGCGGCGTCTCTGCAGCCGCGTTTGAAAAAGTAGCGACCCGAGTGACCGTGCAAGAAATAGTCGGCTGAAAGTCCTTTTTAAATAGAGCTGGGATTCGTATAATCCACTCTTGGGAATTCGGGCCACGATAAATACTGGAATGTTACTCTTGATATTTGATGGAGTCCCTAGCAAGGGCTTTTCACATTTGTTTCATGGAGAAACTATTTTATTTTTATTCTGTATTATTTATGTATACAAGGGGAAGCCTAGTTAGTATCTTAGTGTAAATGTACGCAGTAGAAATGTCAGGGAATGGTCAGACATGTGTGTCAAAGTAAATATTCCATTTATAATTCATTGATAATATAAAGGTAAAGTGTATTGAAGGATATTAGTATATTAGTGTATTGATTAAAGAACAGAAAACACGTTTTATGTAATCAAAATGAAATCAGACGTATATGGTCCCTATATCATATTAAACTCATTGTTCCTTGAGTTTTTACAAATATTAGATTTGCACACATTTGATGAAATAATCGAGCTGTCACAAAGCTGATACAATTATTGTGTATAATATTAGGTCAAACATCATCTTGCAAAAGCTCAGATGTTTTCTTGAATATTCTTTTACAAATGTTGCTTTGGAATTCGAGCATATGCACACTACTTGCAACAAATGACAATAACGATTCTTTAATATCACTGTGTTCCAAATTAAGAACATATTCCATGTTAGATCAACTGAACCTATATTATTTTTGTGAAAAAATTTAAATAAACTCGTAACTGAGTCGTAGAAGATGGCGTCGAGACTGTCGGGATTAATGATGTCTCGTTGGTAGTTACGACAATTTTGGCGTATTTGAAGTCCAGCGGCAGTTTCGAACACGGAGAACGCACGGTTTCCACCCCGCTCCGTGGATGGTTAATCAAGATCTCGCGAATCGATCAGTCGCCACTTGGGTGGGTTCGAAATCATCGGATGGAACCGGCGGAAGTTCCCTTTCGCGTTGCATATTCATCGCGAACGCAGCGCGTCGCGCGTGTTTGCGTCAGCTCAAAGACAACTTTCCACTTTGACGGAACGTTACGTTCCACGCGGGGGTGCTGTATTAAGCCGCGCGTCGCGGCTCTATGGCGGCTTTCACCCGGGAAACAAGACGGGGACCGGACGATTGGTTTCTCTTAGTTGGTATTCAGACCGTTTCTTGGCGTCGGGGATGTACAGACGCGGAACGATCGTCGTGCGCAAAGCTGCGTCGAAAACGATTCGATCTCGTCTCCAATGGGGGCTTCAAAAACAGGGAACATAAATTTCACGTGGAAATTTTATCGAAGACACAGGTGTCTGAAGCAACCACGATAAAATTGTCAGAACAAAACTGAAAGAAAAGAGACTCTGGAAACGCCATTTGACTTTTTCATTAAATTGTTCCACTCGTGTATGCACCGAGTTATTTCCCGTCAGAATCCACCAGCCGGAATTTGTTTAAAAGACCCCGGTGCATTTTCAGAGGCATCTTAGACAGTATCAGTATAACTTCGGTGGGTAGTTTCGCCCCCTCGAGCTCGAGTTCTTGCCGCCAAAGGAGAAATATGTATTCCTTATTTTGGCAGTTCGATAAACTCGCGAAGTTTCGTCAAACTTGCGGACTGTTGCTCGCGGGTTCCCTCGAACGATTCGCCCCGGAACTCGCAGGAAACGTCGCGTTTCCTCGTCGGAGATTTAACTCCCTCTTTTTGGGGGGAGAGGGGGACAAAAAATAGCGAACGAAATTGCCAGCTGCGAAACCGTGGGACGCGCGGTCGGCTACGAATTGAAATAATTTATTTTTTTTTCCTTTTGTACGCTCGATAAACTTGCCGCAGTTATGAATTTAACCTCCGCGAGGACATTTTTCTTCGCGAGCAAAAAACAGTCAAACGGAGCTCGAATTGGAAAA